TATGGAATCACCATCACTTACATTTGTATTTTTTATTTTTGTGCAATTTCTCAGAAGTTTCAAGAATGTCATGACCCCTCTTCAGTAAGTTAATTTCTAGAATGTGTCCAAATCACTGCAATAACACACAGAAAAAGTCATATTTGAACATATGATCGCTGTTTTCATGCTTTGATACTGCCCGGGCTTCCTCTGATAAGAGATGAAAAAATATTTTTGGGAAGCTAAGCAAAAACTGTGTGGAAAAGTATTTCATGTTACTAAGACCTCTGTTTTTTACCTTGCTCACCCTTATTCCTCCCAAGAAAAATAAAGAGAAAACATTGGGAGTGACTCAAGAGAGGCTTAGACTTCTCAGAAACATGGTTAGGGGATGAGCTTTTGGAGCCTGAAAGTGCCTTCCAGACACTGTTCAATCTAACCTGAGTCTAGGATTTCATTAAGGGTTTTTATTAACTCTCATTTGTTTGGTCACTGTTGAATCTGAATGCTACTGAGTCTATTTTTCTTTTTTCCCCCCTAATCCATTTGCCAGAATATCCTCAGCCATATTTATCCTGCTTATTTTCTCTCCCTCCTCTTGTGTTCTCTGCTTTGCTTTATAGTAATCCTCTGCTGTTTTCCACTGCTCTTTTTTTCTCAGAAACACCCCTCTCATTGCCCCAGTCATACATTCTGCCCCTTTCTTGTAAAGAAACATGTGCTAAGGGCCTCCAGAACTTTCTTGATGACTTGGCTCTCTTGTGCAGTGTTAACAGTTCTTAACAAGGATTAACAGTTCTATGGACAGGGATTTTATACCCTGATGTTTGTATAGTGCTCAGTGTAATAAGATTTGTAACCATAGTGAGATCCTGACCCTCTGCTGTTTTGCACGTGGAAGTGAGCATCCAAACTCCAGTTTACAGTCCAGCCATTTGTTGCTGTTTTAAAGACAATTAAGAAGTTGCAGCCTATTTTAACAAATAGGCACTTCAGCTGTTGCAGTTTGATGTGGAGACCACTTGACAGACATTTTTGCAAGTTATTTCTTCTTTCTTATAAATTGGTGTTGAATGGTGGAGTCTTCCAAGTCTTAAGAAAAATAAATTAAACAAAGAAAAAAAACCTTTAATTTAATGCACATTAAATTAAATAAGCATGAGCACATTTGAGGAAATATCCATGTCACTTCCCTGTAAGCATGAGTTTTAAGAGATACTTTAATAGACTGAGAGATGCTTCTAAAGGGCGAGTTGGAGAGGAAGCTTAAACTAAGACTGTTTTTTCCACTAATTAAGACATTTTTGGTTGGTTGGTTGGGGTTTTTTTTGTGTGTGTGGTTTTTTTTTGTTGTTGTTGTTTTGTTGTTGGTTTTGGGTTTTTTTTCTGGTTTTTTGAGGGTTTTTTTTGTTTGGTTGGTTGGTTTGCTTTGTGTTTTGAAAGTCAGGCATCTCAGGCAGGTGACTGAGTTTGGGTGGCATTAATGCACAATGCTCCCCTTTCCACATCTTTCCATCCTGCTCACCCAAAAGGTTCCAAGCCTGGCCCCTCATTCCAGAGCAGCCAGAGTTACACTGTATGAGGATGAGTAAGGAGCAGGACGAGGATGAAGCACAACCATAAAGACACGTGGAGTGTGCTCAGTACTGGAAGCCTGCCTTTGCACCCAACAGTGCAATTCACCAATCTGCAAAGAAAATGAGCAGATTCATCTTGCATCGATTTCTACAGTCAGGAGACTTTTCTGTCAGGTTCCAATATATTCCAGGTGCTTAATCAATATCAGTGTTAAACTGCCACCCATAACCATTTCCAGGGATATTTTTCTTTGCTTTTCTGACTTACTCACATAATGCCATATGTGTCTTAGTGGATTAAAAATTGGAAGAATACATGTGTAGATGGTTTTGATTAATAGGCTCTTTAGTAGAAATTTAATAACCTCAAACGTAAAGTATCGATCTTGTTCTTGCTCTTATAATTTCATTTAAAACTAAGTTTTTTAGGTTTTTGCTTTGTTTTTGGTGGTTTTTTTTCAGTTGCAATTACATAGGAAGACAAACACAATCTTACTACCTGTAATATAACATGTGGCTTGATGCAATACAGATTTTGCAGCCCTGAAGGTCAGGAACTTGAATGTTTTTATGAGGGAGAGAGAACGTGTCAGGAGGGTGTATTTTTAGAGAGAAATGGAACAACAGGGAGAGAATTCATGGCATTTTCAATACCACAGACCTTGTTAAGTGGCTATGGAAATTAAATACACTGATGAATTTTATTAAAAGCATTGACAGAAACGTTAAGAAATACTTGAGTAGTCTGCGTGACGTGGAAGCATTTCATGATGAGCATAACCTCCTCTAAAATTGCTAATAAAAGGCACTGTTAAGCACTGGTGTGTTCTGGGCTGCTGCTGGTGCTGATGTGGCATGAGAAGGGTCTCTGGGTGTACCTGAGCTCGTCTGGCTGAGTCAAGTCAGCCTTTGAAACCTTGGAGAATGCATTCTGTTGTCACAGTATAACAGAGTTTTTGCCATTACAGCAGGGTAAACTTTGCTGGAGTTTTGCTTTGTTTGGTATTTGCTACACTGTGGAATGTGACTGTTTGAGTCCTCTGTAGCTTGCAGATAGTCTTATTATCTTTCTAGCAGAATTCTCCATTATCAGTGCCCCAAATGGCTTGTTAGCACCCGTTTATACTTGGCTACTCTGAGGAGCAGTTTGATGGTAAAGGTACTGCAAGACTGTTCGGTCTCTTGGGTCTTCAAATTACCAAACTCTTGGGTTTGAGACGCCTCAGTGTTTGCTTAATTCTGTAAATCACCCTTAGCATGAACTAGTTCACAATTTTGTGCAAAATGAATAAGCAATTTAAAAGTTCTAACCCTGGAGAACATAGTTACAATTTAATGGAGCAAATACTGTTCTTATTTCTTTCTAATCTAGTGAAACTGTGTATCATCTGTCTAATAACCTGTTAGTAATTCGAGAGAAAAGGCTGCTTCTCATAGAAATTCTTAATTTGCCACCAGAGGAGGCAACCCACCTGAGATTCTGTGCCTATTCAAATCTTAATTCCATGAAGAATAATATCTCTAAATCCTAATATAATTCAGGAATTACTTTTTTTTTTTTTATTTTCCTCTGTGTGTTCACAAATCATGACAATTAGTAAATATTAGAAAAAATGTAATTGTATAGGGAGATAAAGTGTTTTTCTACTGTGATCAAAAGTCCTATTAGTGTTTCAATGTACCCAATATATAATTGCTTAATAAAATGCCCAAGGTGAAGTTGGGAAGTGGAGAGTTGAAGATGGGTTCGTTGCATGTAAAATGGAGTGTCTCCAAAAAACTGAGGTTCTTGAGTTCCCCTTGCACCCTGTCCCAGTGTTCAACTGCCCTCATGAAGAAATTTTTCCATCTGCTGCAAGAACAGCCCATGATGATGACAATTTCTGAGGTGAGGATTGCCTGGAGTACCCAGATCCTCTCTCTCTCAAGGATTCCATGATAGCACATATATTAAATTTATTAAAGAAAAACAGGGAGCACTGATGGTTCCAATGCCATCCATGCAGCTTCCCTGCCCTGGGTGTTACTGTGCCCGGCTTGAAGCTGGAACATTTAGTGCAAGAGAGAAATAATGCTTAGATTTTAGAAAGGGTTATAAAACCTGGGTGAAGATTAATGGATGGCAGTATTTTCTGATGAGCCACAGCACAGCCTGGATATTCTACCACACTCTGCTGACTGCACACTGATTATTTTTTTACAGCCCTCGCAGCCTTTGGAACAGCAAGACTGAAAACTCTAAACTAGCCCTATTTTACTGATCCCTTTTATTTCACAGTCCCCTTTTTTCGTTAATGGTAAATTTGTATTACTTTTTTCCATGTCTACAAGCTGATTTAAAAATATTTTTTCTTTACCTACAAATTAGAGGAAGTTCCTCTTGCATTGTAACAGGAAGTTTATCAGAGTCACAGAACAGTTTAAGTTGGAATAGACCTTGGGAGTCATCTGGTCTAACTCCTGGTCAAAACCCTTTCTGTTCTGCAGCTCTTGTCAGAAATATATGAAATTAGACAGTAAAAAAAAAAAAAAAGTTTGTGTTTATTTGAAATAAAAATAATTTATAATCCCTAGCATAAAATTCAATAATCAACTACTATAACAGAGAATGTTTTGATCAAGCTCCTGAATTTCAGTCAGGTGAATGGAGTGAACAAAGCTGTGAATTTGGGTATCTGCTGAAAACTGTCTTTTATATAGATCTGTTAATATTTCTGAAGGTCACTGTTAAGCCCAAATAGATAAGATAGCTATCTGTTACAACTAAACTTATTATTGCTTTTAACAATAAGAGGGAGGTGTGATTTTAGGTTTTTTGTTGTTATTGTGGGTAAATGCTTTTAATTCTCAAGTAAAAGAATAGAAGAAACTGTCTCAGAAAAGTTCTTGGTTTAGTTTTCTAATTTTGTCATGTTTCTATAGTTGAGTTGAAAAATCCTCAGGAAGCAGGTGAGTTCCTGGGGTTTTGGTTTCATTTGGTGGGAGGTTTTTTTAATTTGTTGTTTGGTTTTTTTTTACTATATGAACTCTGAATGTAGCTACAACTTACAGAGTACAGAAACTGCAGACAGAGTAACTCAGGCACATTGTGCTGATGTGGCTGCAGATGGCAACTTCTGAAAGCCTTGGGGGCATGGGAGAATATTGAATCTAACTTGAAATGCATTTACTCAGGCCCTTGTTGTGGGGGTTCTGCAAACAGTTTGTAGTCGATGGAGCTGCTGTCACTTGTTTGTGAGAGCAGACAGTGCCAGAGGTTGGGGAAGCACATGGCCTTGCTCTCAGAGTGAGCAGCTCTCTGCTGGCTTCCCTGTGCAGTAATTGGAAAGAAAGCAGAGATGTGCCTGCTCTGAGCAGCCTCGCTGACACAGTCCTGTGGCATCTCAGGGGTCAGGGATTTTCAGCTCGGAATCCTTAATGATGAATGTCTTAGCAGTGGCGATGAGGGAAGAATCGATAATGCAGCCACCTGGATTTCAGGTGTGGGGCAGCTGCCAGTGGGTTGCAGTTCTTTTTCAGGTTGTCCTTGGAATTATTGCATTGCAAAGTATGAAAAATTCTCATCATGAAGTATGGCATGGACTTCACCTACTTTATTTGCTTTGTGCTGTTTCACTCACCATTTCCTTTAGGAGTGGTGTTTGCCACTTTTCAAAATGTGTACTTCTAGGGTTTAGGTTTTCAAACAATATCTTTAAACTGCTCTTGCTATTTTAATTTTAGTGTCTATATTCAAGAAAATAGGTGCCTAAAAGTGATCAGGATTGGACATAATTTTTTTTTTTTTTAGATGAAACTCTGAAGTTCTCCAATTGTTTATAGGTACAAGATGCTAATAACTTTGTGAGTTTTTCTTGTCTTTGTAAGAGACATGCTGTGCAGTATTATGAGATATGTTGTCTGGACTCATTATCTTTTTCTGCTAAATTTGTGATAATGAAAGAACAGTCAAATTTTGTACAATTTTATGACTTTCCACATATGTGTCCTTCCTTCCACTTTACATCCTTTTTTTTTTTTTTCCTGGATATATGGTTGTTATTCACATTTTCTAAAGTTTTAGTTTGTTGAAGTGTTTTAGTACAGAGGAAGATGTAGAAAAGTATTACAACAGGAAATAATGAATACATGTTACACTGCCAGTGCCCAAATATATTCTTTAAAATGTAAACACAGCCACTTCCATACTGAGTTAACCCATGGATTTCACTTGGTTGACAGGTTAAAAGGTGGCCAAATAACACAGCTGATGTAAGAGTTTACATTTATGGGTTGAAGAAAATGCTATTAGCAATAGGTCATGCTGGATTTGGGGCAAAGGGATTCTATTTTGTACCCTGAAGCATGAGATTTAATTACTCTTACAATCGCTGTCTTTGCTTACAAAGCTGCCACTGTTGTTTATCATCAGAAAATTATCCAACCCTTTTAAAAAACAGCTTTAGTATTTGTCTCAATGAACTTTCACAGCAGTAACTCCATAAATTAATTAAACACTGCCTTGGAAATTGGCTCCTTTTTGCAGTTGAAAATTTAGCATGATTTCATAGAAACAGATTTTTCACACTCAGGGGATAAAGTTCAAAAGAAATTGGATAGTTTAAGTATGCCCTTCATTATTTTATTATACTTTTTTCACAGTTGATAAATTAATTGACCAATTACAGTCAAAAAAAACCCCCAAAGTGGGCTTTATCCTCCCATACCAACCCCCCAGCCCCTCAGCTTCTTTTTGGTCCAGTTCAGTCCAAATATGTAATCAGTCTGTAAATTACAGTAATCTTGTGAGCTGTCTTAAGTTGCTGTATTACTGATACCATATTTATGATCTGTCAAAAGTATGTTCTTCTAAAGTTAGAACTTGAAAGTTAACCTTCAATCAAATTCAGCAGATTCACTGAGTGAATTAACATCATCTTAAACATCTGTTTGTGGATGCTGAAAATTTCAAGTTGTGTGCTATTTTCGTTTGTTTTTATTGTGCTAACGTCAATTTCTATTTATGAGACAAAGTGTAGATTATATCTGAGAGCTATTCAGTGTTCCTGATATTAACTGTAATGCATTTTATAAAATATTTTCAGATTAAAGATGTGAGGAGAGGTTAGTATGTGTTTTTGTGAGAGTCAAGTACATCACAGTTATAGTTAAGTACAATGAAGGAATTTAGGTGCTGATTAAATTCAAAAAGAGAACTGATGCCACAACAGAAACACAGAGAAATGGATTTCAGCTGCATTAGTTCCTTCATTAAATTCTCCACATAGTTCGAAACATAATGGCATAAAAGGGGAGGGGGAGTCACAAGTGCCTGGGGGTTGGGCAGAGGAAAGGAACATTCACTCAGATTTATGGACACTCAATTCAAAATGGTCCCAATGTAAAAAGGCTTAATGTTAAAAAAACGTTTGATGTCAAGATGATTATCTTCTGGTATTTAATGCTCCTTATTACTATTATACTTTTATGTCTTTAATGTCTTCTCCGGTGCTTTGAGCTTCATGTTTTTAAATTACCTGGGATTATTGTTAATATAGATTTTCATGGAATTTTGATGACTGTGCACTCGTTGTGGCAGTAAGCTTGAAGAGGACCTTCATCTGTCTTTCTTACATATCATTAAATATGTATAAAAGACCCTGTTTTCCTCTGAAGCAGGTGCTTTAACCCTTCCCAAAATCTAGCATAACAGTTTTCTACACTTGAATGAAACTACACAGCTTTTAGAAACTTAATTCCCTGATAAAACTGCATGCCACTTCTCAGTAAATGCATTCCTGGGTTTTAGAGTGGAAGTATGAAATGGCCTGTGGCAGTTTGGGGAGTAAAATCATGGCATTGGCAGCCAGTGATCACTTTCCTGGAGGTTCCTTTTGAGCTGAATTGATGTGAGTAACAGCTCAAGCACAAGTGATATTTGTCAAGAGACAGACAATCTCATGGCTGCCTGCTCTGTTTCTGAGAGATTCCATTTTATTGTTTTTCCTCTATCAACTTTGTGAGGTGCCTGCTTGCTGTGCCAGTGCTGCTTGGCTATTGATTCCCAGATCTTATTGTGTGACTCATCACTTGGTCTGGGTAGCAAGTCTTTGAAGAAATTTGGTTTATTTGTCATGAATATTCTCTCTGATAGCATTTCTCAGTTAATTTATTTTATCAGTAGTCTATAATGTGCAATAATCATCCATCTTGGCCACTGAGTATATAATAATAAGTGCATGTGACTACTGATAATTGCAGCATCACAGGATGCTGAAAAATGCAATTTCACCTAGCCAAGGTTGATATCAGATTATAAGGGTTATTCTAGGGCTATTTCCTTTTTCCATTTATTTTTCCTAAATCACTGTTATTTTTCTTTTAGTAATCTAATTGTATAATTACTGTATGATTCATAGCTTACTAAAGTCAATAGAAATATCCCTGTCATATTCGGTGGGTATTAGACTTTTTTTTGCCTGAATTTACTTTGTACATGCATAAATTTTTGTTAAAATGCCTTTTCATTCTTTCGTGCTGCACAGGCCATTTTTTTTTTCTCTTCTTACCCTTTCTCTTTGAATGGCAGATTACAGTTCTGATTGAAAACCATATTAAATTAATTGAAAGACTGGTTTGTTTTTTTTTTTTCTTTTGCTTGGAAGATAAAACAAAAACGAATAGAAAACTTCCATCATTAAAGGAAATGTAAGAATCATAGAAGGAAAACGTATGGTTAACCAAAAATAACAAATAAATATATATATTCATATGTTTCATTGTAGAGGGATTTTTTCATGGCTTCCAACAAATTTTCTGATCAACTGTCATTGAGATGTACTTTATCCGTATGTTACAGATTTCAGCTTACATAGAAGAATACTTGGTAGTGAAAATATCTCTGGAATTTTTTGCCATATGATGAAATATGGAAGGTCATGCAATGTTGCCTCTGTGCAAACAATATTTCTGTTCCTACTTACAGTATTATAAATGAGGAATAAAAAAAAAAAATACTGAGTCTAATATGGATTTAGCACTTGCATGTTTGCCATAAGTGTTGTTTTAGAGCCAAAATATTTATACTTGTGTTCCTTTCTGATTGACAGCTTCTCACAGAACTGGCACCAGTATTTTACCTTGAGTGACATTTTTTTGTCAGCATTCTTTTTGTTTCTTTGAAAGGAATCTAATTTGAAAGTGCAATTTTAAACAATATTCAGTTTGGAGTACTTGGTTCTCAGTGTTGCTTGGTAGACAATGTGCTGACTGTAGAAGCTGTTTTGTTTTTCTTCTTGAAAGTATTGTTATGAACTGAAACATGTCAAAATAATGGTTAAGCAAAGAAGATACCATGGCAATATCTCCTTTTTTTGTATGTGTACGTCAGTTGTGGGTTAAAGCAGAGAAGGAAAGTGGAATAAAACAGTCTTCAGCTAATGTTTATGTAGGTTTCAGAAATTGTACTATGAAGCATCAACTTTTTCTATGTTACTCTGTTTTTATCCTAGAGCTACTTTTTTTCCTTACTGGGAATCAGTACTAAAATACATGAGAATGCATTTTGCTGTTATGTGCTGCCTGACAGTTTAACCAAGTATTTATGTGATCTTTATAGTGATATGAGGGGAGAAATTAGAAATATTTATCTTTCATGTGTTAACAGGCAGGGTGTCAAGTTGCTGTGTCTGTCTTGATCCATTCCCTGACTTCAGAACATCATCAAACTTGGTTTAGGTATTTAATTTTTGTCAGCCTGTTCTTAGGCAGACCTGATGCACATATTTAGAACACCAGTGTTTGGTGTTCACCTTATTATTATTTGCCTGTTTTCAGAACATCACTTACCAGTTGTACTAAGGTGATCATGAAAAGCTAAACTGAATGGACAAAAGAATATTTATAAAAGTATATTTTTAGCTGTAAAGATTCTTGGTTGACTAGAAAGATGTAAGGCTGGGGTTTGCCTGAACAACACAGTCTTATTCTCCTCCTTTAAAAAGCCAATAGAACAAGTAAAAAAAAACCCTTTAAACTGTTGATTTCTGGTGTATGAAGAACAAGTTATGGCACTACATTATTTGCTTTGCCTGTTTTACTTTTATATGTAAAATTTGGTCATGTCTTTCACAAAGGTCAGTTTTATAACACTTAATAAATTATTTAGTCATTCTGACTAAACTTGCAGTCAGCCACTATTTTTGCTTTGCCAGTGGTATTGGATGTAATAATTTATTAATCTAATTGTGCTCTCTCCTTGCTTTCCCAATTATAATCATACTCTTAAATTATAAAATAGTAAAAACAATGAGAGAGTTTGCTGAAGGAAATCTTAATAAATATGATTAGAAATATCAGAAATCAGCACCTTTTCTGGTGCTAAAGCATTTTTTTTTTCATTCAAATGGTATGTTGGTCTTGTGACAAGACAGCATTTGTTTTATTTTAAAAGTGATGAAGGAATGGGAAAGTTAGCTTTTGGCATAGTAAAAGCATAACAAAACATCTCTGAAACAGAACTAGACAAAATAATGTTGTAAAAGTTCATTTCTTGACACTCTTGGAGCT